CGTCGCACGCCTTCATGCGCACGACGTGGACGACTTCTGGTCGTAAAGGGCGACGTGATGAAGTCCGTGTTTCGTCGGGCATTACCTCGTAGTTCAGATCCCCGAGTCGACGAAGCACTTTGTAGGGTCCGAAGTAGCGCTTCAGTAGTTTCTCGCTGAGACCACGGCGGCGGATCGGTGTCCACACCAACAAACGGTCTCCGGGTTGAAAGTGGAAGTCCCGACGACAAAGGTTATAGCGGCGAGCGTCGACTCGCTGTTGGTCGTGAATCTTGACTCTTGCCAGTTGGCGAGCTTCTTCCGCGCGTTGCGAGATCAGTTGAGCGTCGTCGTTGCCATCGTCGGCCGGCACGTGAGGCAGCATGGCGTCGAGCATTGTGGAGACCGTCCGGCCGTGTACCAGTTGGAACGGTGTCATTCCCGTGGTTTCTTGCACCGCTGTGTTGTACACAAACGTGACGTACTGCAACACCTCGTCCCATATTTTGTGCTCTACGTCGACGTACATGGACATCATGTCGGCGATCGTCTTGTTGAGCCGCTCCGTTAGCCCGTTGGTCTGCGGATGATAAGCGGTTGTTCATCGATGGCTGGTATGACTGAGCCGAAGAACGTTTTGAGTCAGCTGTGCCATGAAGGATGACCCGCGATCTGTGATCAGCACTTCTGGTGCACCGTGTCGAAGGAGAATACACTCGACAAAAAACTTGGCGACTTCTACCGCTGTTCCCGATGAGAGGGCTTTCGTCTCGGCTTATCGTGTGAGATAATCGATCGCGACGATAATCCACCCATTTCCTTGCGTCGATGTTGAGAACGGCCCAAGTAAATCCATGCCGACCTGCTGGAAGGGCGTAGTCGGTGCAGGTATCGGCTGCAGGAGTCCTGCTGGCTTCGTCGGAGGCTTCTTAAGTGGTTGGCACTCATGGCCCGACCGTGTGCAAAGGTGGACTGTTTTCGGCAGTCTCGTCCAGTAGTACTTGTCATGAATCCGGGCGAGCGTCCTACTCTAGCCAAGGTGTCCAGCCGTCGGGTCGTCATGGCATGTTTGAAGGATTTCTTCTCGCAGGCTGGCCGGAACAACCAGCAGCCAGGCAGGGTTGCTCGTTCCGAAGTTCTTCTTGAAGAGCACGCCTCGCCGCAGAACGAAGCTTGGCAAGTCTCGGACCAAGACTCGCGGAACTGAGCGTCCTTGACCTTCGAGGTGGTCGATCACGGCGCGAAGTTCGGGGTTGTCTCGTTGAAGTGCTCCAATGTAGGTATCCGTAATTGCTTCGAGAAAACGGGCGTCGTCATCGTCGTCGGTGCTGTCGGGAGGAGATTCCACTGGGGCACTAGAAAAAACATTCGGCGCCATTATGCTTGCGGCCAGACTTGTGCACAATGGTCATGCCGAATTCTTGCAGTCGAAGGCTCCAGCGATCGAGGCGTCCTGACTCGCTCGTTTTGGCTCGCCAACCCTTGAGGTTGGTGAGCCAAAAGAGAGCGTGGTGGTCCGTAACAACGCGGAACGGAGTCCCGTACAGGTATGGGCGGAACTTGGTTAACGTCCAGACGACAGCGAGATATTTCTTGTCGGTTCTCGAGTAATTTTTCTCTGCCTTGGACACTGCCCGGCTTGCGTAAGCGATTACCCTCTCTGCTCCGTCTTGTTTTTGGACGAGCACCGCACCTAGCCCGGCGTTGCTGGCGTCTGTGTGAGCTTCCGTTTACGCTGATGGATCGAAGTGTCCGAGGATAGGGGGCGACTGGAGTCTTTTCTTCAGTTCGTTGAACGCTTATTCTTGCTCCCCCCCCCCCCCCCCCCCCACTGGAAGTTCACGTCATCCTTCGTCAGATGCGTGAGCGGTGCAGAAATCTTGGCAAAATCGCGAACGAAACGTCTGTAGTATGCGCACAGCCCAAGAAATCTTCGTACGGCTTTCTTGTCTGATGGCTTCGGAAATTCGGCGACAGCGGATGTCTTTGCAGGGTCAGGACTTACACCTTTAGCATTCACGACATGGCCCAGGAATCGGTGCCCACCGTAGGCGAACTGACATTTTGACAGCTTCAGTGTCAGTCCGGCATTCTGGATAGCCTGTAGAACGGCTCGCAAACGTCCGAGGTGCACGTCAAAGTCGCTGGCGAATACCACGACGTCGTCGAAATAGACGAGACAACTTCGCCATTTCAAGCCGGAAAGAACGGTTTCCATTACGCGCTGAATCTTCGCCGGTGCTGTGCATAGTCCAAACGGCATCACTTTAAATTCGTACAGCCCGTCCGGCGTGAGGAAGGCAGTCTTTTCACGATCTCGTTCGTAAACCTCGATTTGCCATTACCCACTCTTGAGGCCCATCGACAAAAAGTATCGGGCGCGGCGCAGCCGGTCCAGGGTGTCGTCGATGCCTGGCAGCGGGTAGACATCCTTTTTTGTTACAGCGTTCAGTCGGCGATAGTCCACGCAGAACCAAAGAGTCCCGTCTTCCTTTTTCACAAGGACTAGCGGTGAAGCCCACGGGCTGCTTGAGTTCTAGACAATGTCGTCATCGAGCATTTCTTGGACCTGCTTCTGGATGACTTCTCTCTCTTTGACAGAGACACGGTACGGCGACCGGTGAACAGGAAGCGCGTTGTCTTCAGTGATAATTCGATGTTTCCCAACGGTCGTTTGGCGCACCTTTGACGACGTGGAGAAGCACTCATTGAACACGGCGAGAAGGTCACTGAGTTGTCGTCGTTGTGGGGTAGGCAGGATTGGGTCGATGTCAAACTGCGAAGGCGGCGTTGTCTCGGTGGCCACGAACAGAGGTCTTCTGATATTCCGGCGATTGCGGCTGAGTCCGGGAGTTCCTCGGCATGACTCACGGCGGTGCCTTTCTTAAGGTGCTGGGCCTCCTGTCGGAAGTTCGTTACGAGTGCTACAGTGTGTCCATCTTCGAGCTCCGCGACGCCTCTCGCGATGCCGATCCCTCTTCCTAGAAGCAACTAGATGCTTCCTTCGAGCAAAACGTCGCCGCAGAAAGTCTCATCAACCCCGACGGCTACGAAAACACTATACCGCGGTGGTAGGTTCACGTGGCTTGCGAGGACTCGTACCGTGGATGACGTCGCTTTGGGTTCCTCCAATGGTGGAGCAGGTTTTCGTAGCGTCGGCCGGTTTGCTCCGAGGCCGATGACGGCGCCATACTCGCAGAGAAAGTCAATTCCGAGGATAACCTCCCTCAAACAGTCTTGTAGAACGACGAACTTGACAAGGCACCTCTCACCGTGGATCTCGACACGAGCAGTGCATCTCCCAACTGGCGTGATGAGGTGCCCTCCGGCGGTTCGTATTTGAGGTCCATCCCACGGCGTCGTGACTTTTCGAAAGCGGCGGGAGGGCCTCCCACTCAAGACTGAGTAGTATGCTCCGGTGTCCACGAGTGCTGATGCGTCGCCGCCGTCGATGACGAACGCTTAGGTTATTGGACACCGCTGCAGGGGCGTCGTTTCTGTCTCTGGTAGCGTTAGAGTGGGGGCCCTCTGACATTCGTGGTGGATCTTGGCGTCGGTCGTCTTCGGCAACTCCACCTCTAGGGGTGGCCGCCCCTAGTTTCCCCGGCGAAAAGCGAGGGGTGCCAGGCTTTCACGTCGCGGTCGGTGGATCGGTGAAGCTGGACGTCGTGGCGACGGCGACCGGAACACTCGGCGGGACGCAGGCTCGGGTGACTGAGATCGTCGCAGGTACTCATCGATCTCCCGAGGGCGTTGACCATAACGGGGGGTGCGTCATTCGGGTGGAGCCCGCGCAGCCCGAGTAGTTGGTATGGGCATTGGCGGTAAGTTTGGTTTGCTTCCGCGCAGTGGAAACACAGAGGGCGTCGGCCGGGCGTTCGCCACACGTCGGTTTTTCGGGGTGCGCGGGGCTCCTGGCAGGCGTACTGAACCTGGACGTCGTGGCGGCGGTCGTGTTGCGGCGCAGGAGGCTGACGTCGGGGCGGCGCGACATAGGCTTATGGAGGAAACGGCGGCCGTGGGGCCATTGCGGCTTAGGTCAGGGTGGGCTTCTCGGATGCTGCTACGCTGGCAGGAGCCTCCGGTTGAATTGCCCGCTGAACTTCTTCGCGTATCACTTCTGCTATCGACAGCGAAGCCGGCTGGTTAGCAGTAGGCAGCAGCTTCCTGAGCTCTTCCCGGACGATGTCGCGGACAATTGCACGAAGATTGTCAGCGCCGGTGCCGCCCTCGTCGAATCGGGAAGATGTCAGCGTCGAAGCAACAGGCGTGGCGGCGAGTCAGTTGTAGTGGCTGGCTCGGATTGACAGGGCACGCTCGATGTTAGTTGCCTCAGCAACGAATTTATCGACAGTAGTTGGTAGGTTGCGAACAAGGCCACCGAAGATGGCCTTGTTCGCAACATTCACTTTGGCGTGACAACATCTCTGGCCGACTTCTAGAAGGTTCGAATTGTAGTTTGCTGATGAGTTCTACTGCCTCTACTAAGACCGTAATAATGTCTGTTTCTATCGGCTGGTTGTCATAATATCAGTTATGGTGGTGTAGCTCGTCGTTGTGTCGGTTAGCAAACAGTGAGGGGCATGGTGTGGGAGCTATAACTGAAGTTGCGTTTGCCGGCGGTGCGGTTCATATGAATCTGTATTGTTCATATGATGAAAGCTAAGCTGTTTCTCGTTTGATAAAGCGCATTTAAAGCTTTTCTTGTTTGTGAACGTCGTGAGTTTAAAGGCCTCCTTGGTGAGGATCTGGAGAGCTGGTACTGGTAGTTTGCTGATAACATAGCCTACACGAACACTGGCCGGCGAAGGGAAGAAAAAAAGCTGCCGAAGCATTATTTCCGGTCGTTCAATGTTTTTGTGGTAGCCTAAAGTTTCGAGGTAATTTACAGATAGTTTGTATTGGTTCACCATTCTGGTCACGTTCAGTGGTGCTCAGTGTGCTAGAAGTTGATACATATGGGGTTTGAAGATACAAAGGTTCATCAAGCAATTGACGTGTTGGTGTCGGTAGTATTTGCTATGGTCACGGGCAGATATGTGCATCTGATTTTCTTGAAAACGGTGACTTTAGGCGACCGATTGCGGGACAAGTTCAGTCTGGCGATCGATCATTTTCAGTTGAAACTACAAGATGCCGGTGGGCGGATCGGACTTAACTTTAGGGTTTCGGCACCTACATGTTCCAGAACAACGGAAGTTGAACCTGCCTCGGTCACAAAGAAAAGTTTTAAATAAAGCTAAAATGCAGTTAGTCTCCTGCGTGGCAGATCTCACATGCCCAGGCACGACGATGTATTTTTTAAAATATTTTGCAGCAATTCCGTTTTAAATATACCAGTTTGATCGTGTTACACTGAGTGATACATCAGCATTTCATAAACTGGGCAGGTAAATTTTTCAGAAACGCTAATTTCATATATTTCCACCATCCGATTTACAACAAAAAATATTGCATTTCTATTCATTTCTGTAATTACAGATCTCATGAAGAAGAGGGTTGTATATCCACGTTTAATAGAGTCCCGGGATTCCGATAGTGAGCTGACGCTGTTCATCAGTGATGAAGTCACTCTATCTCTACAACCAGTGGACATTTTTCCGGATGAGTTTCTCTTGCAGTATCACGAAGGGGACACTCCGGTCAAGGAATATGTTAGTGTTTTCCGTAATTGTTTTTGAATACCTTTCAACGACCAGTAGAGGTATATAAAAAAAGAGGTTAAAATTTTCTCCTCTACATTTCAGATTAAGGGAGCGGACCTTAGAAAAATGGTATATGATGATAAGGATCAAAGGGCAGCCGTATTTCTTGACAGAGATAATGGACTTCGCGTGGTAAATATCTACGAATCCTTGATATTTTTTTTATATGCCCTTGTGGAAAATATAATGTTATAACATTGGGTGTAATAGAATTTAATGCTGCGTGAAATGATGAGGTCAGACAAATGATAAGACTTCATTTCTTTGGTAATTTAACTTAGTGTTACAGCAAGGTGAGCAAGATTAAAACTTCAAGTCAACCTTAATACAGTCAATGCAATCACAATGCAATCATTTTAGTAAATGATTGCTGTAGAAAACAAAATGACTCATGAAATTAAGTTAACATAATCAATTTAACACTTCGCCTAATTAGGATAACAAAAGTCACATTCCTGCAGGCCTTGCTTGTAATTGTATATTTACAATATTTTCTAGGTTTACATGTAGGGTTTTGTGTTTCCGGTATGTAGCGATAAACCGTAAAAATTAACTCCCGAGACAGTTTTATCAAAATCGGTGAAAACCTAACAAACCCAATTCGATGCTCCCCTTGCCCAAGAAAAGCCAACGCTACGGGGGGTGAAAATATGTGATTAAAGTTTCATTTTATCATAACGCTAAATAGAACCCCACTGAACTGCCCGCGAGGCTGGTTTATTCTTTGGAACCACAACTCGTATATCCGATTTTTATATCTATATGGCACAAATGCTTTACCTAAGTATTCAGATCGTAGCCCATTCTCTTGTCTTATTTTTTTAAACATTAGTCTCCACAAACGCCGATTGTTTTTCTGAGCCCGGAAATTTACACACCGGAAAACGCCGAATATCTGGAAATAAAATCTCCTAATTAACACCCCCGATTTAAAAAGAATAAACTTCAAAGCACAGAACCAAAGGGATAGGCCACAAATATTTAAAAATATTATGTGTAGTCTTTGTGGCTAGGTATCGACGTTTCTTTGTACAATGATTGACTGAATGACAATCCTGTGTTGACAATATTAATTAACATATCTGGCGAACTAATTCGCCCAGCGTGGCCAGAACGAACACTCCCAGAAAATAAGTTGAAAACTTCCTGCGGTAATGTCTTTCTCATGTCCACGTTGCATCATTTTAGAAATATTTTAATGATACTCTTAAACTCCAGTGTTATTTAGACATAGTGAGTCCGGCAAACGAGGCACGCAAAAAAATTAAATGAAACTGTAGCGATTTGAAGCTACTCACTAAAGGTAGGCTAATTGCTAAGCCGAAACAGGCTTCAAAAACATAATCCGAGCACCTATCGGCAAAAAACATACCCTGCATGTAACGAGCAAACTTGTCTACTTTTATACTTGAAGAAAATAAACGCATGCATTTTAGTGCCTATATAATTTCTCGTGGTTCTTTGTTTGTAGTTTACATAGCTGAACCATGAAACCCGAAGTGTATCATCAAAAGTTATAACTTAAGGAGTTATAAAATGCATCCAAACGTACCATAATTTTAGTCATTAGTAGCAAGATACGGTTTGAATAGTTTATTCTAGGAAACAATTTTCTGTATAACTTGCGATAAATCATGAATAGAATGAACTCGAAATTATATGTATAACCTAAGAACAAATATTGCTCCCCTTTTTCATCTGCAGTGTGCCAGTTTCTCGAAAAATTACGTTGTATTTCTCTTGTGTAGGAAGGAATCATCCTCGATTCACTAAGAATAAGACCAACTCTCCCTCTTGAGGTATCGAATACTGCATCTATTGCTCACGAACTTTTTGAGGTTGAAGAGCCCTTTCCAAATACACGTGACGACTGTAAGTTGTGGGGTCTTGTCAGCCCCCCTCTCGTCGACAACCGGACGCCGGCGCCTGAGGACTCGTTTTCGGATGCCGCCTTGGCGAGGGCGGCGCCTTTGAAGCTTGGTGCCCGAGAACCTCCTGCCTCGGGACCCATCTGGAAGACGTTGGCGGCGTTGGCGGTGGACATCCAGGACCCTCCCTCCCGGACAGCGTCGGCGCCCAAGGCCCTGCACGTGCTACGGCAGAGCCAGACGGGGAGCTCGAGCGAGAGACCGCCCACGATGGGAGACAAGAGGCCCCCGCCGGTCTGGTGCGCGGCGACGGCGGGAGCGGGGGAGGTTGGGACGACGGACGACGGGAAATTGGCAAAGGGGACTCTTGCGCGGGAAACGGGGCACGACGGACGTTCGCGCTGGTGGCGACCGCGCCGCCCGCTCGGGCGACGGCCCGGTGACATGGTCCGGACTTAGACCCCGGATTCGACCCTCGACGACGGTGTTCCCAGGATGCGGTGTGGAGTAGCACCGCAGGGACGATCGGCATGCAGCATACAGTGGCGGCGCACCCCTTCCAGGCCTCCTCGATCACTTCTCCCGATCCCGAAACCCCCAGCAGAATGTGAGTGGAATAAACCCCTTCTGCCGAGAGCTATGCGTTTGCTGTGTCACGTTCATCCGGAGACAGGGGCCCGGGGAATCGGACGAGAACCCTACAAAGTATAAGATTAAAATAGTTTCAATTTGTAGTATATAAGTTTTTTTCTCTCTAATTAGAGCGAACGTTTATCAGAATTAAGATCCAAGCATTGTCTGTTAAAGTAAAATGGCACGCAATAAACAATTTGTAGTTTTTGCAGTACCGGAACAGCAGCTTGTTCAACTCAACACGCAGAGGAATCCACACGGTAAGGCCTCTTGCTCCAAAAGCTTACTTAATTTATTCTTAATATTTACTCGATTAGCTGCATTTTTTCCATAAACAAATGCATATGACAAAAAAAAAAAAAAACGTTTGTTACCGACAAGGTGGTCTTCCAAACGAGGTACACCCAGAATTGTTTCTCTTGGTGGATACCACTAAGCACAAGACCCTAACAAAGAAGGTCAAAGTGGCAGCGTACGCTGCTGTAACAGTAGCTGCAGTAAGTACCTTTTTTGAATTTTTAACCTGGAGTACCCGGCGGTCCCGTATCTGGGTGAAACATTTAAAGTGATCGCACAAATCTGGTTGGTAACGTATCGCACTACGAATCACCACGGAGGCGCTTGTAGGAGTTGGAAGGATCGCATAAAAATGTCTAGAAATGAACTTATCTCAGTAAAAAGTAAAACGATATTATGACTGGTTTGCTCTTCCTACCGCGCCCGTCTGCTTACCGCGCACCCTCTCCCTAGCACAACAGCCGACAGATGGCGGCAGCATCCCCGGCGGCTTAAGGCCGCTCAGAAGACGCCCGGTCGCGCCAAAACAAGACGGCATGTGCCTCAAAATACTTCGCTAACCATCGGTTTTATTTGTTTTGTGTCGACTTGATGTGTTTTATTGGGAACGAAAAAGAAATAATGCACTAATTGTTATAGCGCCCAAAAAGCGCGCTCCGTTTGTGGTTCGCAAAGTTTGTCTGCTTTCGGCGGGACCGGGTGTATGCTGAGCTGCCATTAGGTTCGTTAGCCTCCACTGCAGACATCTGCCGGTTGTTGGGCTAGTCGGAAGGTGAGCGATTATCAGACGGGAGTCAAGGGCAGAAAAAAAGAGTCGTTTTTACACTTTTTACTTGGGTAGTTTTGTTTTCTAAACTTTTGATGTGATATTTCAACTATATTGATGAACACTGAGGCAAACTGTAGCGTGATATGCTGCCAAGCCGATTTATGCGGTAACTTCAAAGGCTTCGCTCAGATTAGGGTCCCCGCGGTGAAGAAGGCCACTAGGTAGCACAAAGAGCAAAGTCGGCTGGGGCAGCCCCTGCAATACTCCCTTAGGTCCCACATCGGTGTAGCATGTGCATGCCCATTTCAAGCTGCCCATGCAACACGTACGTTTGTCCCCCCTAAGTTATGCGAGGTCAAATATAGCGTAGTTGGGGGTATATTTATGGCACGTCTACTTGGGCTGTCGACACAGTACCCCCGTGGATCCCCATTCCGCAACGCGTGGGACATGCCAAACTTGCGCTGCTCGTCCAACGCCCCCGTGGGTGCCACCTCGACTTTACGTTGACAGATTTAGCACAGAATTGGGATGAACGGAGGCACAGTGACGGCATGCCCAACTTGAGCTGACATGAAATGCTCCCTTTGGTCCTGCCACGGCTGTACGGGGGTGGAGTTAGCAAAGAGATGGGCTCCACCGGGGAACCGCGTGGTCATGCCTAACTTGGGCGACACATGCAGCTCCCCATGGGTTCCGCCTCGGCCATTGGATACGAGCAAGACTAATTGGACTGCTATGTTCGGTCGAAAGTGACGTAGTGTCAAGTATTACGTGACGGGCCAGGTATTTTCTCAACTTGATTGTTCTTCGTTTGCATGGTTTAACGCTTAGCAGCAAATATTGTTCGCTAAGTATTTTGCGTTTTTCATAGGACGCGAAACGTGTGTACGAGGAAACCTCAGAACAAATTCGAATATGCCAAGCGAAGCAATCGGAAGTTGTGTGCAGGTTACGATGGAATACTATGAGAGTTTCATGGCCGCCAACATCGCTCGGATGCTCTGTCGTGGAGACGAACAAGAACACTTTAAGGTGCTCTTCGCGCGCTTCCCAACTTCAAGCAGTAAAAAAAAAAACACACACGTACTTAAAACTACAATTCTTGGTGATGGCCGCTAGAACCATGAATTCCGAAAGCAAAGAGAGTGATTTATTTATTTATTTATTTATTTATTTCGCAATACTATCGGTCCTACACAGGACCAAGATAGGAGTGAAGTTTGCACAACACAAAAAAAATACACGCGCTCAAAATGCACAGATAAATAACACGCATTCAACACAACGATGAAATGACAACTTTAGGTACAGCTGTCAGAAATCTCAGAAATAAGGAAACTAAACTCTCCTCGAGTTTCAGCGGTCACGACTGTGCCGGTAGCTTGTTCCATTCTCGCGCTGTTTGCAAGAAGAACGAATACCTAAAACAGCCCTTGGAAAACTTCTGCTCTTCCACCTACCGAGCATGCTTGTTGCGGTTTATACGCGACGTGCTCTCATTAATATACTCTTGCTTATTTACTAAAACCAAGTTATTCATTATGTTATAAAAAAGGTTAAGCCGCTTCTGCTTCCTTCGCACTTGAAGGAGGGGTAGATTTGCCCTTTTATATAGAGGTGACACAGAGTCCAGCCGTCTATTGCAAGAAAAAACAAAACGTAACGCACGCCGTTGAACTTGCTCCAGATTTGATATAAGATATTTAACATGCGGGTCCCAGACTTCACATGCGTATTCTAATAAAGGCCTTTTAGCATCTTGTATGCTGTGAGTTTGATTTCTGAAGAAGCGAGTTTAAGAGAGCGCCTGATGTATCCTAATCTTTTATTAGCCTTTCCGATTATATTGCTAACGTGCGATGTCCAACTTAGGTTTGAGGCTATTGTAAGACCAAGGTATCTAAACTCTGACACTCGGCTTAATGCTTTTCCGTGCAGCATATGCACATATTCTAACGGCTGTCGTTTATGAGTGATCATCATGCATACTGTCTTGTCTAAGTTTATCGACATTTGCCACTTAACACACCATTCATTGATCTGGGACAAATATTCGTTTACCATAATTTGATCATTATTGGACCTTATTTCAGTATAAATAACACAATCGTCTGCAAATAATCTGGCTTTTACAGGTGAATCTGCGATAAGGTCATTAACATAAACCAAAAGCAGCAGGGGACCCAGGACAGAACCCTGTGGAACACCCGAGTTCACATCACATTCGTCCGAGCTAACCCCTTCAATACTTACAAACTATCGACGACTATCTACAAAGGCCTCAATCCACCGAACAATCTTATTATCTCCCAAGATGGAAATCAATTTAATTAAGAGCTTTCTATGATTAAGTTTGTCGAACGCCTTCTTAAAGTCTAAAAAATATGATGTCTGTCCCTTGCGATCCGATACCTCGCAAAAATTATGCATGGTTTCTACTAGTTGCGTGACCATTGACAACCCCTTACGGAAGCCGTGCTGGTACTGGCTCAGAACGTTATTCGATAAAAGAAATTGCAGGATATGTTTAGAAACAATATGCTCAAGAACTTTGCACGATGTAGACGTTAGCGCGATGGGTCTATAATTGCATACTGACTTAGCATCTCCACTTTTCAGTATTGGAATTATCTTACTGAGCTTCCAGTCATAGGGTACAGTGCTAGTCAAAATCGACTTTTTAAAAATTAAGTGCAGATACATTGCCGTCCACTCTGCATATCGCTTTAGAAAAGAATTTGGAATTTCGTCCGGCCCCATGGATTTGGAAGTTTTTAAGTCAAGCAACAAAGCCAAAATACCCTCAACTGACAGTTGCAGGTCATCATCAGCCCGTGGAATTTGAGCTGGTGATCTAAACTTTACAGACTGCTTATCGTATTTTATGAAGACGCTTGCAAAGAACTTGTTCAATTGAACTGTAATCTCTCGCTTGTCATTTATAATTCCTTGCTCTGATTAGATCTCGGAAAATGACTTCCTAGCTGGTGCCAAACGGCTCCAAAACTTTTGCGGTGCCTCAGGGATAAACTTTTGCATTGTCACGTTATAAAACTTGCATTTAGACTCTTTTAGCACAAATTTCAGCGCCATGCTTAAAGCCGAGATATCATCCGATAATGCCGAACTAGGTGTACGACGACACCGTAATCTGCGCCGCCCTATTTTCCTTTTTTAAGTGAATAGCTTCTCTCGTCACCCAAGGATTATACATTCGTTTACGTTTTCTTTTCAATGGTATATGCATATTTATACTTTTATGAACGAGAGTTTTAAATTTCAACCAGAGGTCATTAACACTTACTGACTCACCACGACTAAGTTCCTCAAACGGTCCGTAGTGGTAATCTAGTTCGTCTAAAATAGCCCTGTCATCAGCCATGCCGAAGTCTCTGTAGGACGAAACGGGTTTGAGCGTTTTTCTAAACGGCGTCAAGGTCATGATCACGCTAACTATCAGGTGATCTGAAAAACCTGGGAAGAGTTCAACTTCGTACGGTCGAGATGCAACCCCTTCGCTTAAAAATATGAGATCGAGAACTGACTTATATTTATTGCCTTGAATGCGTGTATACTCTCAAGCAACCTGTTTTAGACCATGGGCTCTTTGATGCTCTGTGCTATCAGATCCTCGCGCTTCAAATTTGCGACCGAGGACTCTATGGCTCCGCCGTCGCACTGTCGATCGACTTGAGCTCTGAGCTTTCTAGTGGCTTTCCTTCGTTTGAATGCGTTGCCGAAGAAACAGATGTGCACAACACGTGGTTACTGTTCAGGCAGAGAGTGATAAAGCTAACAGAGAAATACATACCATGTATTGATGCATCCAAATTAAAAAATAGAGCCAAACCATGGATCAACGGAAGTGTTCTACGATTAACAAAAAAACGAAAGCGTGCTTACGCACGGTACAAAAAGAAAAAGTCAGCAGTAAACCATGGGAAACTGAAAGAACTGACGACAAAGTACAAAGTCACCGTGAGGAAAGCAAAAGGCGATTACCTATACAGCGGCTCGAAGACGGAATGAAAAATAACAATAAACAGTTCTGGAAGTTTATGAAACGTTGCGGAAATGACCAGATGGGAATACCTGACCTATTAGTAAATAACGAACTAATTACAGATGCCCGTCAAAAAGCTTGCATCTTTAATGAATATTTTCAATCGGTATTTTTGCCTGCGAACAATATGACGCCAGTAACGCTTACAAACAGATACGATGATATGCCTCCAGTTGAGGTTGGTGTCGAGGGAGTCCTAAAGCTACTAAAAAATTTAGACGAAACTAAAGCGATCGGCCCTGATCAAATTTCGCCTAGGGTTTTGAAGCGCTGTGCTCACGCCATTGCCCCATATCTTTTTATAATCTTCAACCAGTCTTTGCTTGAGGGGTCATTACCGAATGATTGGAAAGTAGCTCATGTAA